TGAGAGGGTGTACCTAATCCTCCAAACCAAGAAAATGTATTCACAGGCATATACACAGACCACACATAGGTTGTATTCTTGCTTATCGGACATACCTTGTACCTTTGCATTTGTCCTTTTTAAGTAAATTCCATATTGCACACCACCTCATGCAAATCACTAGCAGGAAATAGCAACCTGAACACTTTTCAAATCATGCCAGCAGGTAGGTTCAGGATTACCTTGTTTCCAGAACAGGAGAGTAGGGAGAAGGTAACTTTCTCTTCCAGCAAATTTAATCCATCAGTCCATCAGAAGGGGTAAAGAACAGGGGCTGCCTCTGTCGTCCTGACCCTTTCTCCTAGGTGAATATTGCAATAGGACTACTGGTGAGGGATGTGTGTCTCCCTCCTCCACCTCTTCATTGTGAAAAGAGCTGTGTATTGCAGTAGCAGCAGGATTGATAAAAAGGGAAGGAGAGGAGAAGAAGGAGAAGGAGGAGGGAGGGAAGAAGAAGAAGAAGAGGAAGAAGAAGAAGAAAAAAAAAGAAGAGTTTTGTTAACCAGCTTCTCCACTAATTGCTTTTTGGCATTCTCCTGTCCACTTCTTTTTATTAACCGACACAATGATCATAAACCCATAGAATGTTTTAGATAAGTGAATGCCTGAAGGCAGAGCAATTTCAGTAAGCCCTGGTGAGTCCAGGTGGCCTAATACGAATGAACAGACCCTAGAAATGGACCCTCTTTTAAAAGACTTCACATCCAGACGTTGAGTATGAGCTGGGAAAATGTAGAAACTCAGAAGACGGCCTCATCCCCTTATCTTGGCAAATTTGGGCTCACTTCCATTAAACCTTAAATGAAGACTCCCGTTTGAATAGTTCAAATGTCTCGAAACAGAAGGGAGGAGCGAGCTGCAGACTGAGGCCAAAGTACATACTGTATTTATAATCGAACACAGCTTTTTAAATAATTACATCCTTGTGCACTTTTTATTTTTGGTTCTTGAATAAAGTCACTCAGATGAAATTAAAGAGGATGCAGGAGAAGGTGCTTCGATGCTTCTTGCAGTTTCTATGGCAACTCCGGGGCATCTTATTCAGCTACCTCATTGACTGAATGTGCCCAAGCGATGCAGCCTGCAACTTTTGGCTGCTCCTGGAAAAGGCAAGGAGGAGCGCTTTTGATCTTACGGCCACCCAAAGAGCTTCTGACAGAACTGAAGAACATTTCCGAATGATTGATTCGACTTTCCCTCATTTTTGCATGAATGGCAGCCATCTGAGAGCACCTTTACCAAGAGTATTTTGTTAGGGATGTGTACGCACTTGCTTAAACATTTCGTTATTGGTAAATAATCTGTTGTTATGGGTCTGTGTCTAAACCCCTAATGCAGCCATTTATATATTTTAAAAGAAACTCTCATATATCCTATTTAGTGGAACCCTCTGCAGGGTCAAAGAAGAAATTGTTTGACTAGGACTTTAGATGTGGAAGTAGATTAGCAAAAAATTTGAAAAACACAAACCAAATAAAACTGTACAGTGTGAAATTTGGTTCATTTGTTTGTTAACCAGGAGTGAACCCAGACACTTGCCCAAGGGATGTTTTCTGCCCATGTGTCTAGATGGCGGAGGTGCTAAGGCAAATGATTCCACAGACCTAATCTCAGCGGAGACTGGGATCGGAACAATCATTCAGCACGAAGTGAAAGAACAGCATCTTTGGGAGCAAAGTTTTTACGAAACCAACTTAAGCAATTCCCAATAAGGTGTTGCAAAAGTATTTGGCTCCATGGCAACATCCCTGAAAACAAAATATTTAATGAAGTGAGGATTCCTGCCTATGGAGGGCAACAGTTCTGTCTTTGTGTGGTGGCTAATGCATCGTAAATACTCAACCAGTAGCTATTGTTGTTATACGTAAATTTCTTATATCTAAAACTCAACTGCTTTTCTATGAATATCCAAATATTTTGATATCCATTCAAAAGGAATGAAAATGAATATCCATCTGAACTGCTCATTTTCTAAACTATGATCTAAGGAAGACCAAGTCCACATAGAAAACTCTGAATAACCCGCACCATATCATAATTCCTCAATAAATATTTGGTCAAGTTGAATAGGATATTCTAGAAGCCAAACCCTTTAACAGCCTCAACCTCTCAGCATATAATCTGAAACCTGAAATTAAAAAAAAAAAAAAGAAAGAAATCTCTGGAAATGAGTACAGTCACCATGAAATCCCTCCGTTCAAGCCAGACTTTTGTGTCTCATCTGTGAGTTTCCTGATTTGCCTGGCATTCTGATGTTCTTCATATAGTCCTTAGAATGGATTATCTTATTTCCTGGGCACAGCAGATGGGAGGAAAGACCTAAATGATGCTAGGGGACTCTGGTGACGGATGAAACAGCAGCTGATGACTTCGTGGACAAAATTTACAAGCACCAGGCAGAGCAACGCCTATTAGCTTGTGTTGCACAAGGAAACATTAAATAATACATATCATTTTTTTAAATAAGCAGAGAATTGTGTAATATTTTAGAAAACCGTCCCTCCAAAACAATTGATGCCCTTGAGGCAACAACTCTCAGTTATTTGGAGAAAGCCACTTAGAGGTAATTATTCATCATTATTATTCTTATGAGTTAATAACACGCCTGTGTTGGATTTTAAACTCCTCCCCTTCCATGTTCTTCTTAACCATCTCTCTCCTTTCCTTCCCCAACACTCCACTCCTCTAGCTTCTAACCTAGGGGACTGACTCATCCCGGTTTGCCCAGCACATTCCCAGTTGTAGCACTGTGAGCCCGGCATCTGGGGAAATCCCTCTCTCCCAGGCAAACCAGGACAGGTGATCACCCTATTCTAGAAGAGGTCAGTGTGGTAGTTTGGTGGTAGTGCCTTGCAGGTATTACCTTGTAATTATGAAATTTTTAAAATGATAACAATCCTCATGTAGTGGCTCAAATCATCAGGTCACTAGAGCCCTTGACCTGAACTATTTTGAGGAAAAAAAAAAAAAAAAAAAAAAGGCTCTGGGTTCTTGAAATATGCTGATCACAGACTTGGTTCTTTACTTCCCTTAAAGTGGGTAGAGCTAGCCTTCCTTTATTTATGCATTTATTTAAATTGGGGAAGGAAATCTGATTGCCTTCATCTGTTCCACCAGCTCTAAGATGGAAATTTCTGGAGGGAAATTTGTTTTCTTCTTTGCAAGTGTGATCTGGGCTCCTACTGCTTCAGAAGGCCAGTATTTGGAGGTTTTTGTTTGACTGTCACTGAAAAGAAGCCTAAGCAGAAGGGCTCTGAAATCCCACCTCTGCCTTTTGTTTTTGCATGTGTATTTAATAGCAAAATTTTAAAAAGTAGAGGTGAGGCCCATATCGCATTCAACTCACTGTCTGGAGGTACCATTATGTATCTTGCTCAGTGGGCTCAGTCACCAAGAAGCTCATGGTATACCTTTGGCTCCCTACAGTGGGAAGAGAGCAGCAGTGTATGATGGGGTAGGGTGCGGGCAACTTGCTTAGTAACAGGGCTTTGTGGTTTCGCCTGGAGTCAGGACTAAGCAATTCCTAGTTAATTGAAATTAACTTGAAGTTTGAAATTTACCCAAATCCCACAACCAGTGCTTAAATTTGTCCTTAGTCTACTCTTTGTGAGCTGCTCACTCTCTCTAAAAACTGGATGAGAAATGGAGGAGCAGGTTTTGAAGGAGGTGAGAATCCTGGGCTTCATGTGTCCCGTGTGGAGAACCAGAATGCATTTCCATCACCTCGAAAAATAAAAATTAAGAGGCAGAAAGGCCTTGGGGTAAATGGTGAAACTTTTAACCAAGAATGCCTCCAAATGGAAAGCACAGAGGACTGGTAAAAAGTACAGCCAGGTGCTAAATGGCCTCAGTTTAAATCTCAGCTCTCATACCTACTTGCTGTGTGTGCTTGCACAAGGCACTCGACCTCTCTGGTCCTGGTTCCTCATTTCTTAAATGAGGAGAATAGCACTGCCTATTCCATAGAGTTGCTGTTAAGATTAAAGTACTTAATATTTACAAAGAATCTAGAACCATGCTCGAAACACAGTAAGTGCCACATGAGTATTTGTTAAAGAAAAAATATTAAGGAGAACCCATATTTCAGAATGCAGATCTTCTCAAGATTTCCAATCATGAAACAACAGTGAAGTTATGCCAAATCTGCTAGAAGAAGTAGCATTTTCTGTGAGTAGCATTTTCTCTGAGACTCCAATCTCCAGACTCAAAGTTCCCTGGTAACTTTGTGTCCTGAAACAATATATAGTTTAGTGGATTAAACTAAGTGTGGAGGCACATAAAACCTGGAACTCGAATTTCATTAGCTTTAAACACAGCCTCAGTTTCCTCTGTACCAGGGATTGATAAATTACAGGCCATGGGCCCAATCTGGCCCATCACCTGTAGTTATAAGTAAAGTTTTATTGAAACACAGCCACATCATTTGTTTTCCTATTATCAGTGATTGCTTTTGCACTCCAAGGGCATAATGGAGACAGACCCTCTGTTCTGCAGAGCCAAAAACATTTACCGTCCGGCCCTTTACAGAATACTTTCATCAACTCCTGATTTACAATACAAGAAGAATACTATCCTAATCTGGGAGGGGGGAGCACGGTTGAGATAACATACAAGGCAGAACCCTATACATAGTTTAGGCTCCATAAAGGATAAATACCATCATTTAAACAGAGACTCTAAATCTAAAGCTTATAATACGTTTCATCAGTGTTGTTTGCTAGCTTGTTTGCTACCCTCTCTCTACCTCCTCTGTTCCGTCCAAAAACAAAATATGAGTTTGACTTCCTCTAACTTGGATTAAGTTAATCTGCCACGGCACCACACCTCCTTGTTGAGGCCATTTCTATGGCTCTATTCATCCCAACTATCATCCCTTCTGCCCTGTGCTTTGGGAACATTGGCTTCCTATCTTAGCGATGCTAACAGTAACCATACAGGAGGCCCGCAAATTCTTGCACGGATTTGTCTTCAATTTTTTAATTTTTTATTTAGAAATAATAAAATAAGACATAATATATAAAAATATGTACAATCCATGGTTTGTGCAGTACAATAGGAAGACTTTCAGATACAAAAAGACGGCAAACGGGAAAATAATAATTATCACGATTGTCAAAGGCCGGGACTGTTCAACTCGCCAGAGCCCAGAGGTGAAACCCAACGTAACTAGAAAAGAAGTTCTCGTCGGGAGTGGGGAGGGGACTACGCAACACTTAATTTTTCGCCTTAACGTTATTAGACACAGAGTGAGAAAGAACTCACCCTGCTTCTCAGAACAAGCTTTTTGCCTTTACTGAGCGGCTTTAATATAAAACGGGAGCTGACATTTGTCATTTGCGTGGGTAAAATGATTTGGGGGATAGAGCTCATCAAACAGACGGTCAAGGTTTGGGATGGGGCTTCATAGGGAAGGAAGGGAGTGAAGAGAAGAAATAACGCATGAATAGTTTATTTGTGTTTTTGGTTTTTTGGTTTTTTTTAAAAAAAGGTAAAACAGACTTTCTCCAGGAATTTGGAAATGGCTACAGTGCTGTCTATCCTGACATCCTTACAATGTCTGATTCAAGTATACTCTTAGAGGGATAGAAAACTATTCCATTCTCAATAGTCAAAATAGAGTTCACTTTGTCTATCTTTTATTTAAAAATAGGATAACCAGCAATCTATGCCTCCTCCCAAAAATATAATGCCCATCCAGATACGAGCAAAAATTCTTTAAAAGGGAGTAATTCCTAAGTAAATTCAATGGGGGTTTTGCTTGCAATAGAGAAGGAACACGTACCTGGGAAGAGACCCCAGGTATTCACGGTGAGTCTCCTCTGACTTCACTCTAATGACGTATGTGCACTAATTAAGGAGACCCAGTCAATAAGGACAGATGTTTTGAAGGTAAAATGCAACAAAAAATGTTGTGCATTACCTGTGTCTTGGCTCTTGACAAAAAAAAAAAAAAAAAAAAATCGCCATTTAAAGCTTGTAATTGTTAAAATACTACTAACTAGGAAAAGCTTTCAAAGGAACAGTCCATGCTGAAATAAATAACAGAACATAGCAATACGAACCTTATAAGGCTGGTAAATATTTGCTAAGACCATGCTAACCTGTAGCATAGAGGTACTAGCTCTCCGAAATTGCTGCACTGAAATTATACTTTCTATGGCATTTTTTTTCCCTTTACAGACTTCTATTTACATTTGGCTTTAAATATGAAAATATCTGATAAACTTTATAAAATGTACACTTTAAAAACATAGCTTCTGCAAAATTTTCTTGGAAAAAACAAAACAAAACAAAAACAAACCTGTGCACCAGAAATTTTAGATTTTTTTTTTCTGTTTTTCAGAAAGAAGTTGAAAGATTTCCCTCCCTCGTTCTTGCCCCCAGACCCCACCCTCTTTCAACTGTCTCAAGTCCTTTTAAGTGGCAACACTGTGTATTTGGGAGGAGCCCTCTTAGTGGTCACTCCGTGCTCCACTGCATCTTCATTTAATTTACATATCACTGAATACTCTTTGGTTTGATTATTTTCCTTTGCAAAATATCGAAATAGCAGCAGCTGAAGCCCTCAGTAACCTCTCGCCCTCAAAGGCCAAATTGTTCCCTCGTCTGTCAATCCTTTTGTCCAGTCAATCCCAATTCGTCCAGCTCTCTAAACAACTTCCCAAACCTGCCTTTAAATTTGGATTTAAAATAGCATCCCTTTGCTTGACATCTCTGTCTCGGTTTCCATGAAAAGAACACCACAGTTTTCAAACCCGGCGGCTTTGAAGGCTGAGAACAGCAGAAACTCTCATATTATTGCAGGCACGGCATTCAGAGATGGCTGTTCAAGACCCAGAGACCATCACACACATCAGTTTACAAAATACAGGATTCCGGAACAAGCTGTTTTTTTAATGGCATACAGGGATATAATACCATAAGAGAGTTGATTTTGAGACTCCAGTGAAAAAGAAAAGTCAGCAACCCCCAGAATTCACACATAAGGAACTTTAAACCAAAAAAGAGTTCCATGATTGAGTTAGAGCAGGGAGGGGAAAAAAAAAAAAAAAATGTTTCAATCAAGTCAGGCAGCCAGGCAGGAGAGACTTCTGGAAAACAATGTGTCCTTAGTAACCTGCTCTAGGGCTCCACAGGCAAGAAGGATCAGCTCGGATCCAATCTCAAATGTGCATACATAAAGGAGAAATAACCCTTTGGATCGCTATCTCCTCCTACTTGTGGCTGTGTTATATTTTGTATGGCTCTTGTTGGCCCCCAAATACTGTGACATTTTCATTCCTACCCTCTACCATTAAAATAAAGTCACTTTCCTCTCCGTCACAAATACTTGAGCTGATGTGCTTACATCAAAGTGGCCGGTCCACACCGTGCCGGCCCCCCCTTTGGCATCTGCAGCCTTCCAGACACTGTAGGATTCGCTCCAGACAGACTGATGCGAAGAACCAGCCTAGAGGCCAGGCGTGGCATCTTCTCGAAGGCCAAGTCAAGTTGGAAATGTCCTGACAGTTGGGGCAATGCATCCAGCCACAAGAGTTTAAACCTATCTATCTTTCATGTTGGGTGGCTCAGCTTTTGGAGATGCCAACTAACTCCAACTTAGGTCTTATCTTACGGAATAAATTTTGGAATGTGCGAACAGGGGAAATCCAGACAAATCTAGGAGCACATCACCATCTCTCACCTTATGCGTTGGCCTGGCCAGCCCTACCAAGCAGGAAAGAAAAGATATTTTGATTGTGTATGTGTGAATTTTACTTCACCTTTCTTCTTCCCCTATCAAACACAAGTTGTATGAAAGAGCAAAATCGAAAAAACACGGACACTTACTAGACTTTGTGTGTATGATGTTCTATTTTCTGAGTAAGGTGAAAAAGGAGAGGGCAGTTTGAGGTCTTGCTGAGGTTCAAAGTTATTGTTTCTTGATTTCAAGGCAGCCGTGGGGCTTTCTATCCTTTTTAGTATAAGCTCCACTGTGCAAAAATGTGCATTATCTTTGGTATTTATTTTAGGTAGTTTAACTTAAAATTTGAGATAACCCATTAACATCATGGAAGGAAAAAAAAAACAAAAACAAAACAAAACCCAGAGGCTACCATTTGGCTAGTGTTACATAATGCCCTTATGTAACCAGAGAAAGAGAGAGAGAGAGAGAGAGAAAATCAATTCTAGCAAACAAATTACTGGCCTCAAAAAAATCAGGCTCTCGTTTTGGCAGCTTAGTAGCCAAATACTTGCCACTTTGAAGTACATATCATGAGCTTTCAACGAAGTTCAACACTGACTTTTAAATTACACGAAAGAAAAACTACACGGCAACAAAAATACAATTTGTGTTCATGTAGTTAGCAGCTTTTCAAAAATTAAGGCAGAGTCTTGCCTTTGTTATGCCATTAAAAACATTCTTGTTCCCTAAAGAGAAGCATTCTGGATTAGTCAAATACCCAACCAAGGCTTGCCTGCAAGTTCAAGTTTTGTAAAAAACACAAAACAAAACATAAAAACCCCATAACTTATTCTACAACATGTATGTGCCATTGGGTCACGGGGGAGGGGGGCGGGGGGAGGCATGTTGAGTGCTTTATGTTCATCTCCGAGCTTACAGTCTTTCTTGGAAACCATTGTGCTAGCCTCAGTCCTCTGTGGCCACTTGCCTGGACCCACCTCTTCACCGGTACCGTCGTCTGAATAACTGCTTGGGGCCTTGGACCAACAGACTGTTATTTTAAAGTAAAATATTCCAGAGAAAGAAGCAGTCATATCTCCGACTCTCGCCGTAAGGGCCTGGGCTCTAGAGGGACACTTGCCTGGTTGTGAAGGTCTATGTCAGGGGGTGTGTCCGTACTGGTGCTCTCTGGAACCCCATTGTCACTGTCATCTTCCTCTTTGCTTGTGAGGGCGACTTCATTTTCGTAGCAAAATGAATTAGCATTTGAGAGGATATATTTCTTTTCTGCTAAGTCTCTGGCACTACAGAGGGGAGTGTTGGGCACTTCGTAAGTCTTGTGGAACCTGGAATAGTCCACTTTGTAATAGTGCTTCTCCTCGAAGAGTACAGGCTCGTAGCGGTGGCCCCAAAGGATCTCATTTGCCAGATAGGAGCTACGGCATTGTGTCGTCATGGCTGTGGCTTCCACCATGCCCTCCAGAATCACCACAATTTCAAAGTCTGCGTTGTCAATGTCCTGTTTACTCAAATCATATAAAGGACTGTCTTCATCTATTTCATGGACTATCGTGATCGGGGACACCAGAAATATGCGGTCAATTCCGCTGTCAAACCCGACATTGATATCTATTTGATCCAGGGGGATGTACTCCCCTTCGGAAGTAATTCTGGATTTGAGCAGCTGGGCTCTCACATGAGCTTCCACCAAGTGGCTTTTCCGAAGATTGCCCACCCGCCACATCAAACACAGCTTGCCGTCTCTCATGGCAATCACAGCGTTGTGACTGAAGACCAGGGTCTCGTTTCTCTTCTTTGGCTTTGCCATCTTTGCCATAACGGCGCCGATGATAAAGGCATCGATGATGCAGCCCACGATTGACTGGAACACCACCATGAAGACCGCAATCGGGCACTCATCTGTGACACACCTGAAGCCGTAGCCTATGGTTGTCTGGGTCTCGATGGAGAAAAGGAAGGCAGCCGTGAAGCTGTTGACCTCAGACACGCAAGCTTTGCTCTCTCTTGACGCATCCAGATCCCCATGGAGCAGAGCTATCAACCAAAACACACAGCCAAAGAACAGCCACGAGAGAACGAAAGCCAGGCAGAAGATAACCAGCATCCACCGCCAGCGAATGTCCACGCACGTGGTAAAAATGTCTGCAAGGTACCGTTGTCCCTTCTCCCCCACGTTGATGAACTGAACGTTGCAGTGGCCGTCTTTCTTCACAAAGCGGTTCCTGCACTGCTGTCGAGTGTGGACTTTACTCTTCCCGTTCCCAAAGCCATTTGCAACTGCCATGGTGGCCAACTTCATCCCGTCTTCTTCCGAAGAGACAATGCTATAGCGGTTGGTTCGCACACTGCCCATCGCTTCTGCCGTGGACTCCAGGGCTTCTGCTTTGGAAAACAGTCTGAGTTTTTGCAAAACCCTTTGGAGAAACAGTTTTGAATGTTCAGTGAGGACACACACAAAAAAGAATAAGGAGAGATTGGGGGTTTCCAGGAGCCTCTCGAGGTTCTACCAAGGTCTGTCTACGGACATGCAGAACTACCTCAGTAACTCAGCTGACATCCAGAGTACATGTCCTGAAAACAAGAACAACAAAAAAAGACATTATTCATTAGAAAAGAAGTCATTATTAATGGGTTCTACTCTCTAAGGTAACATTTCCTAGCAAGACACAGCCAGATACAGATAAATATACTCCGCAGTAAATTATAAGGTATTTAATTTCCTTGTACCCTAAAAATATTTTTTACTGTATTTAAAAGCATAAAGTCATTAAGCATAAGAGAGTTCATTGTTTGGGACAGTCTTTCAATCAAAATTTCAGGTTCTTTTTCCCCTATTCTTTCCAGCAATCTAGGAGATTCTATTTTTACAGATAAACCCCTTTCATTCTCTCGCTGGCCTTCTCTACTTACTAGGGTCCCAAGTTATTCAGCAGAAGAAAGACTTGCTAAGTCCAAGGTTTGTCACGAGGCTTTGAGAACTCAGACACGTCTAGAGAACAGTTTGCATCAAGGCAGAATATTAATATTAATTGAGTTGCAGGTGCATTATGGGAGGACACCGGAGCCCTCGATGACAAGGTGAAAATCAGAAGGCACAGACTATTTTGTTTAAATGATAAGAAAAACCAAAAACAAAAGACAACTGAGCAGGCAGCCCTTATAATGCCCTGAAATCGGCCCCGATTTCTGGAGACTGGTTGGGCTTGCTTCATCACTTCACACACTGCAAGCAGCCCCTTTGCAGAAATGCCCGATAACATCTCTGTTAGTGCAAGTGATTCTGACTTGAAGGCGTAGGTTTGCTCTGGGGGATAAAGAGCGAGTCTGTTGCCTAGCAATGAGTCCTGAAATTCTCCAGAGAGGGGACCGCCATGTGTAATGACAGGCTAGGAAGTAAGCACCTTTGTGCCAAAGGACCAGGTCTTTAGCGGATTGTGATAAGGCAGGAACTCATTTCATGTGGGTCCAGTTCTGTGTTTTCCCAAACAGAGACAACTTTGTAGGAGTAGGTCGTAATTGTCAGTCAGCTTACTTTCACTTCGAGCGCTACTGTTTGCTCTATGTTCCCATGGAGAAGGCACTCACCTTTACCTCATGTGAACAAACAGTAGTTTTCAGTTTTCTCCTCTAGCCTCATCCTAACCTCAATAACTACCTATTTACTTTAACTTCCCATCTTCACTCCACAGAAACTATTTTTTCCTTGACTCACAGAAGTCTAAGATAAAGTCCAACGTGTTTCCCTGTATCAAATAGAAATTAACAAAATGAATACAGCATAGAACAAAAAACCAGAAGTGATTCTCCACTCGTCCAACAACCCAATCGATCTCCTGTAGTAAAGGGGGACGATGGAAAACAGATGGAAAGGAACAGAAATTCGCTGCAGCCCTGATAATGAAGACTCCACTTTTTCTTTCTCCCCACCAAACCACACTGAGATTAAGTAGTTAACAGAACCAATTTCAGCCGAGCCACCTGCAAACAAATCAAGCAAGTCATTTATCTTGTTTTTGCGCACCCCCTTAAGGAGAGGCAAGGTGCATTGTCTTTGAAAATGCCTTGTTACAGTCTTTTCACTTCTCCCTCCTTATCCAAGTTATTATGCAAGAATGTGCCCCAACACATTTTTCCTGAGATTAGTCATCTGTGAAAATTGCAATGTGTGTTACATTTTGGCAGCTTTTGACACGTAAATGATGCCCGATTTGAAAGTGCCTTTGAATTACTTTATAAAAAGAAGTTACTGTGCCTTCCCAGTCTTCCACCTGCTTCAATGTTTTGTCTGCTTCCCTATGAAGTTTGTACTTGGACAAAAGAAATAAGATTCCTATTCCTCAGGGTTCTAGATCCTGGACGTGGAAAGAATTTTTTTTAACAGTGATTTCAGATTATTGGGCTCAAATGAAATTGCCAAGGATTTCTATGCAAAACCAGAGAGAGATAAGAATAGAACATCAGATGCAGGTGTACTCTCCAAAACAGGGGAAGGGGGTGCCTCATTTAAATAGTGCTTGTATCCTTGAGGTCTGAATGACTTCAGAGTCTTATAAGTTGACACCAAGAAACTCCCTTTTTATCATTCAAAACAATCCTTCCATCTGAGTTACCATTAGGGACCATGAGTAGACAGTTTCAAATTTCTTCTGACTTATTTCTGCACTCTGTCCAGATTAAAGCATAACAACCATACGAAATCTAAAGACTGAATTATGACCTTCCAAAAATCTTGACCCCAGGACATTAGTTTGAATTCCACAAAACACACTATACCAGCTTCCTAACCAAGAGCTCTCTGCCTTTAGAACTTTGAAAATAGCCTGTATTGAATGACTATTACTGTCTTATTTCCGCTGTTAATGACAGAATTTGTTCCACATGTGGAGCATCATTTAGAAATTTTACCATTCTGCCTGGAAAGGTGGGGGGGGAAGGATTCTTTTGGCAAAATGGAAGCTTTTGTCACTTCCAATAGATATGCTCCAAAACAGATTTATGTGTGTATATGTGTGCACACACGTTATGTGTATTCAGAGTTTTGGGGAGCTGACTACATAGCAAAAATCTGGAACCTGCCACAGTTTGCTAGGGTAATTGTCTTAACATCTCATTATGAAGAACGCCCTCCTCACTGACCTGCCCACATGCCCAAGTGGCTCTAGACGAGCAGAAAACTTCCTTGCCTGCTTTTCTCTCACTAAAAATCACCAATTCATGAGCATCTGGAAAAAAACTTTCATTAGGAATAGGGCTTTTGTGCAGCTTTATTTTAGGCATATATTCAAAATAATTCTCTGAGAAACATTCGATTAAGAGGAGATGAGAACACTAAGTGACCTGACTCCTTGCTGGGTGCAATTCAGGAGAAACCACATTCGGTTTGACGAACAATGTGTAAACTCCCCTCTCAGCCAAAATATTTAAGGGCCTGATATAAATTTAATAGATACAAATAATCATTTTACCCAGGCTATAACCAATGAGGTAGAAAGTATTTCTGGGAAATTGAGAGGCTACATGTGGTGCTGTTCATGTTAAGACTATTTATAGGCTGAGCCAAAATTAAGCATAAGCAATGGAAAAAAATAGTTCAGCCGTTTCAACCTTAGGTAGATGTTAAAGAGAGAGAGAGCACTATAGATAAATTCAAGGTCAAGGAGATAACACTGTATAAATGAGTGAATCTAAATCATTGTCCCCATATAGGAAATATTTCCAATTTGGGTGATAAAAAACTAGAAAAACATAATTATGAGAAATAAATGAGAATAAATGTGTCTCATAATATGGTCATGGTGTGCAGTGGATAAGAAAGTTTCTGACTATGGATAGCAAATAAGGATAGTAAAAGAAAGCGTGCTGGGCTGAGAGAGAGGTCTGCTAATGAGTGTTCAGAGCAGTTATTCCCCAGCTGACGCCATATAGACCAGCCTGAGTGTGCTCTGGGCACATGTTGCTATGTGAGCACAACTGCTAAGAAAGCAACCTCTTAGAAGCTCAGTAAACAGAAGGGAGGGGGAGGGGAAATAGGGGCAGGGTAGAGGGATAGGCATTTATCTATCTACCATCTATACTCAACAGTGCACGTAGCATCACTCAGCATTTGCAAATGCTGAGAAATATACGTACCTGGTGATTAAAAAACCCCTGCAGTGGTCTATCTGTTCAGGTAAAGATGTGGCCAATCTTTCATACTACTGAGAAGTCACATAAGGACTCTACAGTTACCCAGAGATTCTACACCTGGGGCATCTGAAGAGAGTAGAAATACTGTGTGTCCTTAAAAAAAAAGGCCAAATTCACAAGAGTTTAGAATAAATATCCCTAAGGATACCAATAATGTTAAAGAAAGTGCCATCAGAACAGGAGGGAGAGGGGTTAAAAGCAAAGTTAAATGACCTTGACCCCAACTTTGACCCCTCTCACCATCCCTGTGGTAACATGTATTACTCCTTGAGCCTTGAGATTTTTCCAGCTATTGGCAACAGGTAATATATAGCAGACCTAGGGCAGTGGTTAGTGAGAGGAGATCTAACAGCGTATTGATTATTAATGTGAAAAGAAAGCAAGTGGTAAAAGGCAATATGCATTCTTTGCATACCCTAAACACGTTTCCAATGCCTTGTTTCCTAACAGGTAATTCTGAGTATATGAAAATCCCCAGGATTCACAGCCGTATCCTAGTTACCATCCCATTGGTAAGGCTCATCCAGACACAGACACTTAAACTGCCCATTTCCTATCTCGATTTTTTTTTCAACTGTCATGCCGAGTCTATGATATGATGCAATCTTCTTGCAGAATCCAGTCTTTTTGACCACTGTGCTCTTTCCTGAAACCACGCTGTCTTCAACTTAGGTATTAATGCTACTATTACTAAGAATAATAGGTTGCTTAAGAGGGAGTGACATATGATGTGAAAGTTTTGCGGTCTTCGGGCTCAAATCCAACTCGGGCTCGTGCTCTCTTTCCCCAGCAAAGCAACTTTCAGACGCTCGCTCTGTTTGGAACTCGATGCTATACTTGAAGCAATGACAAAGGGAAAAAAAAAAAAAGACGCCAAGGATCAAGACTAGTGCTGAGTCCCAAGTCTGCCAAGATTTGAGACCAGTGCTCTAGAAGCACTCCCCACCCCCACCCTCGCCCTTTTTTTTTTTTTTTCCCCTTAGAGCGAGAATCGAACACAGGCTCCCTCGCCCCTGTCTCCAAACTCAGTATCTCGCTACAGCTGGTGCACTGGAAGTTATGAGCACAAACAGATGCTGCAGAGAAATCTGTTTCTATTGCTCAACTGTTCCAAGCATGTCTCAGTATTTTTAGCTCTGGGGATGTTCTGGTGCGCACACAAACTCTATAGGCATGATCTGGGACTCCGCAGCGTGGGTAAGCGCTACAGCAGCGTGACAGCTGGGCACCTCTGGAGCAGCGGGGCAGGGTAGGGTTGGGGACGGCGGCCCGAGTCCACTCCCCAGGACACACAGGCAGCGGGAGACAAGGAGGGAAGAAAACACACAGCAGCCCTTACCTGTTGCTGGCGCAGGAGCATGGGGACATGAAGTGGAAGTGGGGGGTACAGAGGCATGTAAGATCCAGTAGTTTGTAAAAAGCGAGTGAGCCAAAGCAAACCAGAATCCCCAAGAGCCCAGCTTGCCGGCGTCGGGCAAGGCTGCGCGCTGGCCTGGGCTCCAGTGCGCTCTGCAATATCCTGGGCTCTTTTGAGATACCGGCCCGCCTGGCTCCGCCCCCCGGCCTCGGCCGGCCAATCGCAGCGCGCCTGGCCGCTCGGCCGGCCCCGGGAATCGCGGCGGGGAGGGGACGATGCTACACCCGCGGCCCGCGGCGCCGCCAGCGAGGAGAACCTGCCGCCGCTTCCGCCCCCTCCGCCCTGCGAGCCGGGTCTGGGAGTCCGGCCCCGGCCGGGGAGGAGGAGGTTGCGCCCCGGCTGGGACAGCAGCAGGTGGGAAGCTCCGCGGCCGGGCTTTTTACGGCTGCCTAATTGCAGCCTGGCCTTGGGCAAAGCTTCCTCGCCCTCGCCGAGCCCCACACTGCCCTTGTCCTCCCCTCGGTGGCGGCTGTGCTGTGCGGGCTCCTCGAGGGGCCCGCGAGGTGCCAGGGCCGGACGACACGTTTGCAGGCGGGGAGGATTGCCTTTCAGCCCAAGCGCGTCTCCCTCTCCGCTCGCTCCCCCCCCCGACCCAGAGCTCCCCCCCCCGAATTCCCCGCAGAACCTGCGGTGCGCGGAGGAGCCGCGAATCCACTGGGGAAAGGGACCCGGACCGGCGCGCAGAACCCGGCGGGATTCAGACGCGCACAACTGTTGCAACTGCAGAGCCGCTGGGCTCTTCCTGCTCCGGGCTGTTGGTGAATTACTTACAAAGCGCCTGGACGTCCCTGAAGGGTGAACGACTCGTTCCCTCTCGCATTGTCCGCCCTCAGTCTCTGTCTCCACCACCGCCCGGCACGCTCTACCGACCTAAAATCAGAGCAATTAGAGTAATGAATTCTCTGGAACAGCAACTCCTACAGGCGCTCAGCTCTGCCCTCGCATCAGCGCCTCCCAGCCCTCATTCCCAGCAACCAGGCAAGAGCATGTAGACCCTTTAAAAACCTATGTCAACTTCAGTGTTAACCGCGTCTGGATCCTGGAACTTTGCAGCTTAATCCGTGTGTCCGTGTGTCGGGGTGTGTGTGTGTGTGTGTGTAAATGGAGTAAGTGCATATACCTCTGAGTGCTGTGGTGTCATAACGAAGCTTTGCTCTTAAAGGACACAATATATTTAGGAGTCTTCCTTACACAGAGTTTGAAATTCCTGCGTGTGTGTGTAATGTTTTATTTCCTCAAGCGAGCAAATGCGTCTTTCGTGCAGTTTATTTAAACCTCTCAACGGCCTCCCTAGAGTCGCTGAACTGCTTCGCCAATCTAGCTCGTATTCGGGGCGGCACGGACACGGTGGATTTTTGTGTGCAGGGGACGTGAAACTGACAATTCAAGGGAAGGGTCTGCGCGGGTACCCACTTCCTAGCTTCATACCCCGACATGGCCCCTAGGAGGTGCTGGTGAGATTTGCTAGGTTTTGCAGACGCGTACTTAACCCCGCTTTAGCAAGTGTGCCGCTTTTCCTAGCGCTGAGCGAGATACTGAAATTAAAAGTGTGCAATAAGTTGAGCGTGCGATGTATCTGCTTTGATAGCCGAACGTATTGCTGTTCCACTCCACTCGCTGAGATTATACAGCCCTGCAAGCCCCGTAACCGCCTTGCCTTTTAAAACCCTGTATGCGGGGGAATAATGCCTCACACCACTGGGCGGGGGCGGGGGTGGGGGGTTGGTGTCTGTCTACTTTAATATTTATTAAGTAATGTATTACGTTTAAACAGCTTGAATTAACTCTGGAAAATCGACGGATGTATAGAAACCCAGGCTGTGGCCCAAAGCTAAAAACTGGGAGACAGAGGAGCTAATTCTATGTAGTCAAAGGAAAGAGAACGAGTAACATCTCGCTCCACCACAATAGACTTCTTCTGAAATGTGTTTCTGCATGGATTTCTTCTAAGAAACAGGTGGGAGAGGTCCAGTTAATCCCTTAAAACATATTAAGCCTAAATGGAAAGAGGAAATTAATCATTATGTATGTCTCTTCTTTAACATGATTCAATCTGTGCATCTGTAGATGGCTAAGAATTTCCCAACCCATGTGAATTCAGAGAGGCAGCATTTTTATTTCCAGGTAATGAGCTCTTTTTGAAAATCAAACACCCAGAAAGGGATGCCATTTCTCTGGAACATGGATTGAAATTGTTTTACTTTAATATTCTACTCTAAATAAACTGAGTACCCCATAGGCCAAGATAGTTTCATATAATAGAAGAATCTCTTTTTTTTAAGATTTTATTTATTTATTTGACAGAGAGAGACACAGCGAGAGAGGGAACACAAGCAGGGGGAGTGGGAGAAGGAGAAGCAGGCTTCCCTCTGGGAGCCCAATGCGGGGCTCGATCCCAGGACCCCCGGGATCATGACTTGAGCCGAAGGCAGACGCTTAACGACTGAGCCACCGAGGCACCCCTAATAGAAGACTCTTTAAAGAAATGAACACAAAGTTATAAGATTATGGTTGGTTGTGTAAATTTAGTTATGGGAGGGGGCAAATGAATACACATACCCTAATCTTTCTTATCAACATCACTCTTACCCACCATGGGCTGATAGGCAGCAGTGCTTATTTCTTGAAATAGAAAGAGAAAAATTGATTATTGCAATAAGCAGCTTCGCAGCCTGAATCAAAGTGTTACCTTAATTATTTAACTAAATAAGGAAAATGAAGGATTCTGTTTTATAAGTAAATGAAATTTTGTAAATGCATGATAGCTTTGATTAACTCCACTGCTTCATGTTAAAAAGGAAAAAAAAATAAATGTGCATTTTAATTAGTAAGTGACTTTTCACTATGTCCCTATTAGGGAAATTCTAGTGTTCCAAAGCAGTCAGTGCTTTTTGGAGTGATGCATGATACAGATTTCTCTAGTCAAAGTGTATCTTTTTTTGGCTGAATCAGTCCTTATTTAGCAAAAATCCCCATTAGTTTTGGACACCAATGCAGTTGGGTGTTGGGATCCATCTGTGGATTAAATTTTTCCAAGGAAATGACAGTTATGCTCTTACTGATTCCCTCCACAGTAACCACCTATAATATTAGAGCCAAATATTAGTCATAATCTAGATCTGCAGTCCAATTATGAATGGTGGTGTGACGCAGAAGGTGATTGTTCTACTAGCAGCACAAATCTTTCCTTTGCACTTATATAAATATCTCTAGCAATCCAATATATTTTCAGGCTTCTATTAACCATATACGCAGTCCAATTTTACAATGATGAGAAATGAAAATCCCTGTCACTTGCATCTGCTTGGTGTTGAGAACCCGTTTCTAATCTTCACAGTAATAATTAATAGCAATAAAAAATAAATGTCAGATGAACTTAAAGTGTAGGCAGGATGAGTTTGCAATCTGCTGCAATGAGGACAAGCCATTGACTGTGGTATTTTAAGGCACTGAATGTGATTTTTTTTTTTAAGATTTTATTTATTTGTTTGAGAGAGAGAGAATGAGAACAAGTTGGGGGTGGGGGGCAGCAAAGAGAGAGGTAGAAGCAGGCTTCCTGCAGAGCGGGGAGCCCAATGTGGGACTTGATCCCAGGACCCAAGCGACTGAGCCACCCAGGTGCTGGGGACTGAATATAATCTTATCAATGGGAAAACAGCTTTGGCAATTTCACTTACCATACTAGTAAGATTTCATCTTCATAGTGAATTCAATAAATGTATTTGTTGAGTAAATACTTTGTACTTTAGCGATATGCTGAGTGATATGGGAGGCTTAAGAGCCCTGCGAGGAGCAATTCCCTCCCTCTGAGAATTCACAATCTCCCGTTGAGAAGACAAGCAATGCACAAGTGAAATCAAATGGCCAAATGGCAGTATAATTAAGGCAGGCTATGACTGAAGTGCTAAAATCGATCATGCAAGGGAAAAAAAAAATTCTGGAGAGTTTCTGAGGACTGAAATCAACTAGACTTCATGGTCAAGTTTAGAATGGAGGACTTAATCTGTGTGACATATTACCATGTAAAGTTGGGTTAAGGATGCTAAGAGCAAACCAGAAGACAGGATTGCCTCTTCATTCAATTTATGTCATAAAGCACCCATTTTGCTCCCAGATCTGTCTATATACATGTAATCGTGTGTATAAATGATAAGCCGCTTCTACGAAGGCTGCATGTCTCTGCCTACACCAACACTTTTTCTTCTAAAGCAGTGGGCTTTATTCCACAAGCCTTATTGGCCATTAGTGTCCACTGTAACACACAGTGGTGATGCCTTATTTTTCTGGCATACCTGGGAATGCAGCATATCACATAATAGCTTTTCTAACTAATTGACATTTCTTTGTGGTGAAAGTCATCGTCTCTACTATACCGTATGCATCCTTGAACTCTATCTGATTGCCCCTGGAACACTCTGTATTTATCTCTACCAGAGCATGTTTTGTTCCTCTCATGCTATTACAAATATGTTTCCCTATATGTTTTCCACTTTTCAAAATCCACTGCCATGTCTTTTTTTTTTCTCTTTATATCCTCATTGCCTTGCACACGGCCAAGGAAATACATCAGTCTCAATGAATGTCAGCTGAATGATGGAATGAAATTAACAGTATTTTTGAGTAGACTACGACTTTTGAACAATGACTCAGTATCGTTATGATAAACATAAGCTACTTCATTTTTACCTGCAACAGAGGGGGACTATCCTGGTGCAGTGAGGGCAATGTCTTCTACGTTAAATGACCATAGACTAAGCTTATTTAATCATCTGTTTTTTCCCTCTTCTCCACCAATGACAGCTTTCACTTCTCATTTTTGCTTCTGCCAAATATATCAGGCTGTCACCATGCTCTGTCTAATTTGTTGATTCTAATCTGTACTGGGCTGAGAAATTATATAACCAAGGTTGCTTAAAAATATATGCAAAGTGAAAGCAAATACAATCTGAAGGGCTTAAAGTGGATATATATTTTTAAAATAGTATGAGCAGATGCCAAATTTGGAGTTACCTTGTTTTGGTCAGTTTCCTTTTTCTGGGTAAAAAAGCTTCAGGATATGGATTTATGACATCTATTTTGGCTTCTCAGAGCATTTAAATGCTTTAGTCCTTGCATTTACTGTGTAATGAATCGTTGAGGAAGACCTCTGGGTAAGGGAGGGAGCTCTGTGTCTGCAAATGTTCATTTGTTTACATGTAGAACAAAGTCATACAGTCATTTATTGAGAAATCATCAGAGTGCTTACTGTGTCCATTAATATGATCTTTATTTTCCATCAAATATGTTAAAGCCAACAATAATAAGTGGGATCATTTTTTTTTTTTAATTCACACTTGCAGAACAGCTAAATTATTATTTAGCAAATTACTCTTCTGTCGTGCTCTGGAAGACTTTACGTATTTCATGTGGGTGAGGCAATGACACTCTGAAAATGCTGCATTTATCCAGACCCCCCGTTACCGTGGCTCTTAACACAGGGATTACGACGACCGTTTCATCCGTGTTGTCTGTGACACACCAGCTGCCTCAGAGCTAATGAACCTGAAGTCCCGGTTCATTCTCTGTTAAAGTGGATGGCAGCTCCTTAGGTCAGGTAGCCTTGTTATAAAATGCCTGCAACTTGGCATTCTCCAGAACTAACAACAACAAAAAGCAACTTGAGACAACCAAAGCTAGTCACCATTGGAGACATTTCAGGAATATGCCACAAGATACAAAGAATATACAAAACATATTTTGAGTAATGTCAATAATGATACTGTCATGTTACTTTTTTTTTGTCATGTTACTTTTGAAAGAAAGTATACATACCTGAATGTCTAGGTTTTGGGGATATTGGCTTTAACAGTATGTGTGTGTGTGTGTGTGTGTGTGTGTGGTTTTTCAAGTGTTGAGTCTGTATAGGTCTTTTTTTTTTAATTGTCAAAGCAATTATGGAAAATGTACAAGATAAACATTAAAAATGTAGATTAATATAGAAAACATAGAAAATAAATCCATATTCCCACCATTATAAATACATTGGTATATCTCTTCCCCCTTTTCCTATCTTTCTGTTTCTATTTTTATATCTTTATATATTTTTTTATAATTTT